GGAAAGATGGAAAAGTCCATGAGGCGATTGAGTTATTTGAGGGGATGACAAGAAATGGATGCCCACCTAACACAATAACCTTCAACACTCTCCTTGATTGTCTTTGCAAGAATGATGAAACTAATCTAGCTTTGAAGATGCTGTTCATGATGATGGATATGGGTTGTGTTCCAGATGTTCTTACTTACAACACAATTATTTACGGATTGGTGAGAAATTGTCAAGTCAAAGAAGCAATATGGTTCTTCCACCAGATGAAGAAACTAGTGTACCCTGATTTTGTTACCCTTTGCACTCTTCTTCCTGGCGTTGTTAAGGTCGGTTTGATTGAGGATGCTTACAAAATCATCACTAACTTTCTTCATCACCTTCGAGCCGAACCAGTCATGCTTTTCTGGGAGGACTTGATGGGATCAGTCTTGGCTGAAGCTGGAATAGACAATGCCATTTCATTCTCCGAGAGATTGGTCTCTAACGGGATTTGTCAAGATGGTGACTCGATCTTGGCACCTATTGTCAAATTTTCATTTAAGCTTGGCAAAGCCTCAGATGCTCTAACGTTGTTCGAGAAATTCACAAAAGATCTTGGCGTTCAACCCGGACTTCGGATCTATAATTTGATAATAGGAGGACTTCTTGAAGCCAATATGATTGAACCAGCACTGGAGAAGTTCCAAGAAATGAAGAACATTGGCTGTAACCCGGATGTCTCGACCTACAATTTTGTACTTGATGCTCATGGAAAGTCGGGAAGAATCGATGAACTTTTTGTATTATACGAGGAGATGCATTCTCAGAGATGCATGCTCAACACAATAACTCACAACATTGTGATATCGGGGCTTGTAAAGTACAAAAATGTGGACGAGGCCCTCGATTTATTCTATGATCTTGTCAGCGGTGGTGAATTCTCTCCAACTGTTTGCACATATGGTCCTCTTATCGATGGCCTGGCTAAGTCGGGAAGACTGGAAGAAGCAACGGAACTCTTTGAAGGAATGTCAGATTACGGTTGCAGGCCAAACTGTGCTATCTACAATATGCTTATTAATGGGTTTGGAAAAGCAGATGAGGTTGACACAGCATGTAAGTTGTTCAGAAGAATGGTCAAGGAAGGGATCAGACCAGATCTAAAGACATACTCTGTTCTTGTGGATTGTCTCTGTATGGTTGGAAGAGTGGACGAAGCCCTTCATTACTTCAGAGAACTGAAGTATTCGGGTCTTAATCCTGACGTTGTCTGTTACAACCTAATGATAAATGGGCTTGGGAAATCTCAGAGACTAGAAGAAGCTATGGCTCTATTCAACGAGATGAAGAACAGCAGGGGAATCTCCCCCGATCTCTACACTTACAACTCGTTGATTCTGAATCTGGGTATCACCGGGAAAGTGGAGGAAGCCGGAAAAATGTACGAAGAACTGGAAAAAACGGATCTTGAACCAAATGTTTTCACCTATAACGCTCTTATCCGAGGATACAGTTTGTCGGGAAATCCCGAGCACGCCTATGCAGTGTACCAGAAGATGGTGATTGGAGGTTGCAGCCCAAACACAGGTACTTATGAACAGCTCCCGAACAGATCCTAGCATTCACGGTGGTGGTCCAGATGAAATGTACAGAACATAACATTGTGTAAATGCCATACTGTTTCTGTATCCATACATTTTATGATCTTTTTTTAGACAAAACAGTTCAACGATAGTTACCAGACGACAAGTTCACATTGATCAGAAGAAATTATACAATAGAAAGTAGTTTCAAGTTGTCATAACCCATGAAGACGTAATGCAGACGTAGAGAAACTGAAATCTGAAATCTGGATCCCCCAAGAGCGTATCAGCTTCTGCTCCAAGTCATCAAAAGCATTTACAACGTGGACCGATTGCCGAAAGCAACCTCTTGTTAGAGAGGTGATCTATTTTGAAGAGCTGGGCTTGTCCTGGCTCGCTTCAGCTTGAACTGGTTCGGGTTCCAGTTCAGGGATGGTCGGTTCTTGTTCAGTCTCAGATGGGTCAGGAGGTTGCGAGGATGGCATAGGTTTCCTGAACTGAACCAAGATCACGGTCATGTTGTCACAACCCTCACCACCCGCCGTGTTTGGAGCCAGACATCCATCAAGAACTCTTTCACGCATCACAGAGAGTTTCGTTTCCTGTGTCGTTACCAGTAGAAATGGTTAGAGTGTTAAGACAAGATGACAGGAAACAAACAAATGCCGCATTAGTGATAGTAAGGGGGCCAAATTTGTTTTTATTTCATGAAAACAAACAAATAACCTGAAAAACGATCTCTGAAGAGATGTTCCTATAGCTGCATAGGCTTCATTACTAAGAACCTGCAGGTGTAGACACTTGGCACGGAACTTTGCAACAACTTTGCCTGCAGAGATTTCATGTTTTAAAATTCACATGATCACATAGCATCACAAAGAGTTAACATGTTCTGTCAAGATTCTATCACATCATGAATCGTGTGATCCATTTGACTTATATGAATTTAGTATGACCAATATGATCCATGTTATCCATATGTGATCCGTGCCAGTCATATAACCTGTATGATTCAGTGTAATCTAAATCACTCGTGTAACTTGGTGTGACCTGTGTGTGTCACAGTGTCGTCCATATGATTCGATATGACGTGTGACCAATACAATCCACGAACCATAACCAATGAAAAGCAATCACACATGGTAGGCATCGTGGAAAATTGTCTACCGGCAAAACTTTTTTTCCTAAAATAAACAAACCGGCTTCTTGTCTGATGATAAATTATGATTATATATTAATCAATGATTCTAAATTCCCCTCTTTAACTTCCCAACACGAGAATTTCTTCTTCGCCTTCTGCCAGTGGCTTCCATGGCTTCTTTTGCACCTTGCTCCACATTCTTCAACAGTTTCTCACCAGCCAAACACAACCCTTCTGCAAGTTCTTCGGCTTTTCTCGCTCCTTCCTTAACATTCTCCACTGGGTCATCGAATTCCATGTTTTTGAGAAGTGGGTTTTCTCAGAACCCTCCGATGAATCCTGGGTTTCAATCCAAATCCCGGTCCTTTGGTGTTTACGCAAGAGCTTCTGCAGAGAAGACAGTTCACGATTTCACCGTAAAGGTACGATTTTTCTTCTGTCCTATTTCTTTTTCGTGTTGGCTTGATATAAAAAAATTAGGTTTTCCTTTTTGAAATATACGCAAGTGGAGATTTCAAATTGTTGATGAGTTCTGCAATGGTTACGAGCTTCACAAATCTCGACAATTTCATTCTACCGATTCATTCTAGCTGAATTTTGAAGTAAAGACGCATAAAGTTAAGTTTTTTAAGCAAATGAACTGCAATTCGAGTGAGCGGTCTACATGTGAGGAGTGATAGTTTCATAGTTTACCTACGTTTGTTGAGGCGACTGAAAGTTTTTCAGTGGAATTAATCTGGTAGAACTTAAATTCCAAACCCTGAATCGGTCAAGATGATGGCTTTAGCAAAAACTTTCCTTACAATTCCTCTGAATTTGGCATTTGAAATCGATTTCTGATATGCTTGGCCCAAAAATATCTTTTGATCATGGAGAAGTTCATCGGCTTGCTGTTAATCCAATGAGTAATTTGGTTTAAACATCTTGAGGAGCAATGTGCAACGTTGAATCGGTCAGATCAGCAGTTTCTGTTCGATATCGAAAGTTTTAACTGACTGGTTTTGTGAGGCAGGACATAGATGGGGAAGATGTTTCTTTGAGAAAATTCAAGGGAAAAGTTCTGTTGATCGTTAATGTCGCTTCAAGATGGTAAATCTTTTGTTCTTCATACTGCAAAAACTCCGACTCTTTTACTATACAGTTTCAGTGGCATCTGATCTTGGGGTTTGTATCGCAGTGGTCTTACAACATCAAACTATTCGGAGCTTTCACATGTGTACGAGAAATACAAAACTCAAGGTGGGTTTTCGGTTCTCCGTACGAGAAATACAAACCATTTTCTGATTTTTCGCTATGCTGCATTGCTCTAAACGTAAAAAATGGTGCACGGAAAGTGATTTGCATTTGTCATCCGGCCCAAAATCTGAACCCCGAGTATCTTCTTATGAAAACTCTCCTTTCTTCATAGCCGAGGTCCATGATATATTGCTTTTGCAATTGCAAATGCTTTAGGTATTTTATCTTCTAGCTTGTCTCCACTGCACTGTTCTGATTATATCAGTTAATTTGGCATTGGTAATGATATTGGCTCATCTATACGTGTTGGCTCAATAAATATAAAGACGGGCTTTATAGAAGGCGGTGTTGTTATGTTCTTCATTTACCGTGACAGTAGGACCGTTATGCATATTCTGATGAATTCCGAATGCAAGGGCACCATGACCGCTTTTGCCTTGTCATCTCAGGATTCGAGATTCTAGCCTTCCCTTGCAATCAGTTCGGTGGGCAAGAACCCGGTTCAAACACAGAGATCAAGCAGTTCGCTTGCTCCCGGTTTAAGGCAGAGTTCCCCATATTCGATAAGGTCTACCCGGAAACAAAAAAAAAACTAAACTTTATCATCTTTCTTGCTATATGAGTTGCAGATCAGTGAGATCTAATGACAGGTAGGATTCTAACAAATTCTTACAGGTGGATGTCAATGGACCGAGTACAGCACCCATCTACCAGTTCCTGAAATCAAACGCAGGAGGATTCTTTGGTGATCTCATCAAATGGAACTTTGAGAAGTTCTTGATCGACAAGAACGGAAAAGTTGTCGAGAGGTACCCTCCCACGACATCGCCTTTCCAAATCGAGGTACCTTCCTTTGTAAACTCATCCTGTTATTCCAATCCACACTGGTTTTTGCTGGACATTCCGGGTTTGTTCCCGATATGTGTCTTGTTACTCACAAAGACAAGACCAGAGTTGAAACCACACTGCAAATTTCGCGTAGTTATGTTTCAACTTTTTTCTTCTCCTTCACTGGCTGTTGCAGAAGGACATTCAGAAGCTGCTTGCGGCGTGAAGTTACTGTTATTTATAAGCATAGAGATCTGCGGTAACAAGTAAAAAAACTTCGAAAAAAAATTGAGAGTGACGGTAAATTTTCCGGTCATGGTTCTTCTGGAACGTGTAATCTTTCAAGAACCGCGTTGTACGTTGATTAAACATATATATTACAAGTAATAATTTGCATGCAATGACGTGGACATCCCCTTCGGCCTCGGCTTCTTCCTCTTCATCGTTCTGATTCTTCTTTTTCGATTTTGATTTCTTCGACGTGAATTTCTTCTCTAGCCTTGAATTTCTCTATGGTAACCGGAGATTTAAATCTGTTTACGAGCAATTTGATATCAGTTTCTTTGATTCTAGAGAAAACCGGAGGTGATACCGAAGATTTGACCGGTTTAGCAATCCGGTTATCTGATTAGTGGATTAAAGTTTAATCATGAAACCCTAATGACTTCGATACTTGGTTATTGCATCGAAAATACATAAAGTATTCTAACTTTATAAAATGTATCTGTATCCAAATTTTTAGATTTGTAGACCTAAAAAAATTAAGCTTTCGGATCATGCTCAAATCAAACTTCGAGCTTGGTCGGGCTAAGACAGACATGCTTTGGACAAGAGTGGTCAAAAGTATAATCAAAACGACTTTTTTGTCATAAGAAAGTCGAATCGTACTATATGTAAATATTACAAAGTATTATAAGTGAAACTCTAATTAGTGAACATAACCTGATAGTGTTTGTTGACAAATATCCATTTTCAGAAGAGGGAGTTACATTTAATAACTTTCAAGAGTAGTCAAAAGTGTAGCCAAATCGATTTTCTTCTTAAGAAAAAATCGAATCAAAATATATGTAAGTATTATAAAGTATTCCGAATGAATCTCTAACTAGTCAACATAGGTTGCTATTTGGTAGTATTAGATGTTAAGATCAATAAAAAAAATTATCTATTTTAAAGAAGAAATATATACTAAGAATTACGTTGTGAGACCTAAAAAAATAAAGTTATTCGATATGATAAAATTGGAGGTATAGAGTCATCTAGAATCAAAACTATTGTTAGAGAGGTAATTAGGAAATAAAAGGATATAAACCACTAACAAAACAAAAATAATAGTGAAATAAAGAAGTACAAAAAGGCAATAACGAACAAGATTGAGTAATATATGAACAATATAAGTTGTTAAAAAGGAGGTAAAGAGGGGTTAGCCAAGTAAAAACAAAAGTTTTTGAAGAAATGTTTGAGAAGTTTAAGGATATATATATATATATAGAATAGTTGTGGGAGAGAAATGACAACTAGAGATATTTTGACAAATTTTTTTACCAAATCGGGTAAAAAATAAATCATGCATTAATACGAGTAATGGAGAATGGATAAGGCCACCGAACTTTCGGTACAACGACAAACGACGGAGACAGTCCCGAAGCGTTAGGCCAACGATCATCATTCAGCTACTCTCCTCTCGACACGTCATCAAGAAAGTGTCAAACGTCAAGTCTCCGTTAGCACGCCCATATATTTTCATGTGCATATGTACATATGCATACGTGTCTACGTGGTACATACGTAATCGTATACATATACACGTTTTCGTATTATAAATATTATTCGTGTCCTTAGGTTTTATCTTATTATTCCATTTCTTCTCCATCGGTGCCTCTGCCCATTTTCTCTCATTTTCAATTCCTTTCCTCTACGAAAAGCTCTCTCTCTCTCTCTGTGGTTCGAGAGGAAAAATCCTCTTTACCTGAGCACCTTCGCCGGAGAACGGAGAAAACGAAGCGACGGGCAACCGCCGATTGATGACAGCTGAATCCGACTGGTGGAAACACAGTAGAAATCAAGGTCGGAGAGGAGAAGGCTAGAAAGAAGTCGTGAAACTGGAATTGATCCAAAAAATGGAGGTTTTGGTGGGTGCGACGTTTGGGATTGACAGAGCGTACGTTAGAGGTAGTCGCGGCGTCGCGGTGGGTTTGCTCATGACGGAGGAATCTGGTGGCGGTGGTACCCAGATCGGTGTCGATGAGTCGTCGGAGAGTTCGTCGTCGATCGGAGCTCCGGGTGAAAACAGCGATAACGGGGAGGAGGAAGACGACGCCGTTTCGTCGCGAGGAGGGTTGGATTCATTCACATCTCTGGAGGATTCTCTTCCGACGATAAAGTACGTTCCTTTTCAAATCCTTGCAATTCACAACATGGAAATCTGCAGCGACTATTTTCTTGAACAGATCAATGAATCCAGAGATGAAAATTGCTTTGAGACGGCATAACATGCAAGTGAACCCTAGGGAAACATCTGAGTTCTTGTTCGTCGAGTTACATGTCTGAATCACCTAAGTAGTTGATGTGTTTGGTTTCGTTCGATTCCGACCTTGCTGGATTCAGGCGAGGGTTATCGAATCATTACACGGGGAAATCGAAATCGTTCGGGAATCTAATGGAAGCCAGCGATGAGAAGGATCTGGTGAAAGTGGAGAACCCATTCAACAAGAAGAGAAGACTGGTGGTTGCAGACAAGCTTAGGAGGAGGAGCAGAAGATCTTCTTCTTCGCAGTTCTACGCCTGGAAAAACCCTAGTTCCGTGCCTTTACTTGCCGTCCAAGAAACCGACGACAGTGAATGACCATCGAACCAGGACTTCAATGAAGAGCACCGATTTGATGACGCAGGCTCAGAGCTGTTTTTGCCTGAGTAGTTTGCGAGAAGAAGAAGATGATGATGATGGGCAACAATGACCCTTTTCCGCATTGGAACTTTAATCCTTTGAATATTATTAAAGTGGATTAAGGTTGGTGGAGATAGAAGAAAGGTCAGCGAGGAGAGAGGTTAGAGAGATGATTAATGGTTATTGGTTTTGTTAATTCAATAGAATAAAGAGATTTGACTGTTTATGCTTCTAATAATACTGACTGATCACACTTCTGAGAATGCTATTAGGGGATTCTAGAATATTCTCTTGAATCGATCTTTGCATATGTTTATATATTGGCACAAATACAGGAA